TACTGCCATTGTTAACGACCAAGACAAATTTCTCCCTGCGAGATGAATAAAGATTGTCATTGTCATTGTCATTGTCTTTGTCATTGTCATTAAAATACAAAATAAGCTGTTTTTATTTTTATTTTCATTGCTGATGCTTCTATTGCTCTTTTCAGTCGGACGAGTGTCTTCATGTTTTTGTTTTCTTGTTTTTGTTCTAGATCAATATTTAACCTTCTTTGTTTTTGTTTTAGTAAGGTTTTACGGCGCTCGCAACTGCATAATAATAAGGTCATATGAGCGCCAAGGGGTGGATCTCAACAGAGAAGTCCAAACGGGGAATCCGGCTTACTCTGCTCACCTCTCTAGCCTCAACAGGAAAAAGTCTGCTTTGTCTTTCTTCTTTGCCTTTAGACAGTTTATTTGATCTACACTCTTCTTTTTTCCCTGTTTTCAGTCTTGTTCCTGTTTTTGTCATTGTATTTTTTTTCGTTTGCGGATTTATTGTAAAATAAGAAATACGAGCGCTCCAAACCCGCTGTGCGAAGACGGTCAAAGGCATGAGACCGAAACCGGAAATTCCCGTAAACCTACTTAATGTATAACTGAACACAAAATATCCTTCAACGCAGTCACATTCCGCAGCGAATATACAATGTCGAAGCAAATGATGGCGATCGCTACAAAAGGACTGAATTTAACTTAAAATGGGCTTTCTTCTTACACATTTGATCTTAATGAAAATACAATAGTGCAACACTACGTTTCAAGTTAAGGGTACTGGAAAAAATGAAATTTTTCGGTTCTTTAGCTTCTGGGAATATACTGTTCGCAGAAGTTGGCCTTAGCTTGATTTGTAGTAAGATCATGCTTCCTTTTGTTTTGTTTTTCTTTTATTTCGTAATTGTAGTTGTGTTTTCTTTGTTTTATACGTTCTTGTTTTTTCGTTACTTCTAGTTCTTCTCCTCCCCTCTTTCCGGTTTTTTTCTTACCCATTTCCCCCCCTCCTCCTCCTCCTCCTCCTCCTC